CTCATTAACATTGCAGTTCGGAACTCTCCCTATGCCGCCATCATGGATGAGCCAGGACAGGCCATAGGCGTGGCTGCATGCGACATAGATGGCGACGGAAAAGAGGAAATATATGTCCTTAACACAAACAAGGCATTCGCTGGTCTATCTCCGTACAGCGATAAGTTGTTTAAATGGAGAAACGGTTCTTATGTAGATCTATATTCTGATCCCATCAACAGAAACATTTCGGCAAAGAATTACGCCGGACGTTCAGTTGCCTGTATTGACAGAACAGGTCGTGGCCGCTATTCTTTTATAATAACTGCTTATGCTAACGATAAACATGGTAAATTTGCCATGATTGAAATGGACATTGGTCATCGTGATAATTACGTCCGCACTGGAAATATTGTATTAGTCGATGTGGCCGAAAAAGTAGGGATTGCTAAGGCGACCGGCGGGAGAGGAGTCGTTGTTGGACCTATACTCGGAAATAACGGTCGCTCGGACATATTTTTCGGAAACGAAAACAGCCCCTGGTTAAAACTTTCGGGTGACAACTTCTTGTTCAAAAACCTTGGAAACGGAAGTTTTGCTGATGTAGCTGTAAAATTGAATCTGGCCGATGGGTATAGTAACGCACGTGGGGTTGCCCTTGGCGACTTTGACGAGAACGGCTGGATCGATATTGTCGTTGGAAACTGGAACGGACACCATCGACTTTATTTGCAGGATAAAGATACCGGTAGATTTCGAAATATCGCAAACACACAATTTGACAATCCGTCATTGGTCAGAACTGTTATGGTAGCAGATTTTAACAATGATGGACAAACTGATATATTCTTTAATCATTTCTGTAGCAGAGATGGAGCACCAGTAAATAATCGTCTCACAACCATATCCAAATTTGGAAGCGGAATAAGACAAAATGTCGGTGATGCTGGAATGGCAAGTGAACCGTACGGATGTGGGACAGGCGGAAGTTACGCAGACTTGGACGAAGATGGGACATTAGATATGATTCTATCTCATGCTGATAGTTTCGCGGATCCGTCTACATCTCCGCTCACTGTGTTTCGTGCCTCGTCTTCTAAGTGGAATAGATGGGTACGTGTGGCACCAAAGACCGTATATGGCGGACCAGCACGTGGTGCTCTTGTGACGCTGAACTTCCCAAACGGGAGACAACTCTCACAAGTGATCGATGGTGGTTCAGGATATTTGTGTCAGATGGAACCCATCGCTCATTTCGGTTTGGGATCAGCTTTCCCAAACTCTTTGTTCGTCCGATGGCCTGATGGGCGGACATACACCAAACGATTGAATAGGTTTGAATTAAATCAAGTACACACTATTGACTGGGGGTGGTCAGTGTACAGTGCCCCGACGTAAGTTTGTAGGATATTGTGGTCAAATCTCTTTTATTACGGTTTAAAAACATGTATTTCTTATATTTTGCTGTCTGGTCCTTAACAGTGTTGGGTTATATAAATCCTATATAAATATGGGATATTTACCTATCATATTCAAATATTTTCTATCATCTTCATTTGTGTCGTATTATTGTTTCACTTCTAAATATGCCGTGACATGTCATTCTAATTCGAAATCGCACTCGGCAGTGATTTATCTACAATTCAAAATATCAGGACATTTTCCAGAACAAAAAATTCAAAAAAAAAACACGAAATAAGCTGGACATTTCCTTTATATTATTTGCTAATTTTCACAATTTCTGAGATGCAATTTAGAAAATAATGTGTTATTAATCCTGGTCCCAGTTTCATGAATCTTCCTTAACTTAAAATTCCCTATGGGAAACGTTTCATAAGTCAAGGAAATTTCATTACATGTGAGCTTTTTCCTAATTTTTGTATGATTTCCTATGGCAGATTCGTGAAAGTGGAGCCTGGGAATCGTAGATAGAGTTATCACTACGTTCGGTATAACATTCAATTGATCTATTCTTTATAGGCATATAACTCTTCTCAGGTGACCAGCCGGTATTATGTAGTTCTGTCACGACCTCTAACATGCCAACAGGTCGGCAGACAGATGCTGACAAGTGTTACCCACATAACGTCTTTTTTATTGGTGACGTCTGGCAGACGTAATCTTGCCGAACCAAGCGATAGTGACACTATAGAAGACAATGGAAAAGTGGAGACGAGACACAAGAGGAAGTATATTGTTTTATGTCACCAATACGTGTTAGAAGATCTTGGTCATGTCTGATTTTGATTTTACATATACCTTAATTTACAATGTGAAGACTAATCATATTTTAAATAAACTTTTAAATAAAGTCACGTTTAGTTTAAACAATATTTTATTCAATACAACAATAAAGTCAACAAAATAAAAATCAAATTGAATATTCTTATTTGTGTTGTAGATAGTTTGTGTAGCAAGACAAAACCAGAAATTTGTGACTACCCCATAACATTATCAATCGATATTGTAACTTATTTATTAAAACAAAAATGGGGGAATGGAGCTGACAATCTGCAGTATACCGTTGAAATTCCCCTTCCATAATCACGTGGTCAAAATCCATATTAAGCCATACCGAATAGTTTTTCAATAAGAGCGTTAATGGTACATGTTGTAGATTTTTTTATTATGATTAAATGGACGGTTAATCAAGACCGGTATATGTATATACAGTGTCCAAGGTCAGTCGTTGACCACGCTCGTCGTCATGAGTAACGGGTCAAACTTTACAACGCATGACTAAGTCACATGACGGTGATGATAGCTTGTGACAACTAATAAATGACAAACATTTGTCATTATTTGGGATTTCCAGTCGGGGCGACTAATATATATTTATAACGATTAATTGCAACTGCTAGTATCTTATACAACTTACAGATAGCTATACCTTGCAAAAGTATGCATTGATAGATATTTTGAACATGTAAATAAAAACTGGGTAATTCTAAAAAGTTCATATTTTAGTGTAATTGATTCAAATATGACGATTTCCCATAAAGCACAATGCACATAAGATTTTATCACGTGATCCGCCTGTTTTCCAGTGTGGTATTTTTTAATTTATGTCACTAGAGTAAGATACCTTGAGGGCGTTTTCATTGGCTGCACCAGCCAGAAATTGATTGCGATGTCATAGTATCATAAATGAATTGAAAATGTAACAACAAAATGGTTGCCTTCGTTTGTTTTTTCTCGACGTTTTAACATTAAAATCTATAAAAATATATTGTCTCTGAGTTTTATGATAAATTGGTTTTATTTTGCAAAGCTCGTACAATACTAACTTTGAATATCCATGTCATAAAAGGCTCTTATGAAAGGAAGATTCTGTATACATGTACGTGTATACAGTTATGATATAAATATCCAGGAATTCTAAATGTGCACGATACAAAGTACAAACTACAATGTACACGTGTCTTGCTATAATATAGATATCAGTTGAAGATGACTAGTGACAAGTATTCAGGTCACGTGTCAATCGTCCGAAAATATGTGATCACTGGAATGTCCAGAATGCGTCAATAAGTAAAGGTCAGACAAGAGAGTAAAGGTCATATAAGAGAGTAAAAGTCAGAGAAGAGAGTAAAAGTCAGATAAAAGAGTAAAGGTCAGACAAGAGAGTAAAGGTCAGATAAGAGAGTAAAAGTCAGAGAAGAGAGTAAAAGTCAGATAAAAGAGTAAAGGTCAGACAAGAGAGTAAAGGTCAGATAAGAGAGTAAAGGTCAGACAAGAGAGTAAAGGTCAGACAAGAGAGTAAAGGTCAGATAAGAGAGTAAAGGTCAGACAAGAGAGAAAAAAAGTGATACGTTATCTGGGCTTAGTCAAAGGACGGATAGTCAACATTTATTTATCTCCTTTTAACTTAAGTCGATTTTCCCCTCATTGAAGATAATAACAACGAAATTAATAATAAAAAGAATAAAAAAATTCTAAAGGAAGAAAATTTGTATACACGTATATTATAACTAGAAATGAAAGCATTTCATATTTTCTCAGAGGGACCTTGATTACCACTCTCGTTTGATTTTTTTTTTATAATTTTCTACGTATTCGATGTTGTTATTTCTTCTATATGTCCTCTTTTTCGTTTTGATTATATCATGTGAGAGCTCATTGTTAGCCATGTTAACCTAAAAAAGATCTATCGAAATCAAATAAATCTTCATCAAAATCCAAGATGGCCGCCGGTCGTTTGGTCTGTTCCTCCAATTCGTTTAAACTTAAACATGCACACAAAGTGTAGAGATCTCTCCATTAGTGATGAAATCTAACTTTCAAAATCAAGATGGCCACTTTCAGACCGTATCATGCTTAACAAATTTTTTTTTAATTCTGGCACAACTTTAGACCGAGGGAAATAACTAAAATATTTAATTTGCGAAATTTTCACTTATCTTATAGCCACAGACCAAAGTATAGTGACTGCGATGAGGTACTTTTCTTTCTGAAGATTCCCCCTTAACGATAAAATTAATTGGAGCAATTTTTACGTTTGACTTCCAAAATGACAATTATTTATTTCACATTTCTAACAAACAAAATTATTTGTTTAATAGGTACCTGTACAATAATGCTTGTTGAGGAAAAATTACAATCACTTGTATGATATCTTTTCGAAACGAAATACACTTGAGAAAAAATTACCGATATTTTATAATTAATCGTCAATCCATCAACAGTAGAGAAGGTCGTGTGGTTGTTTATACAAACATAGACATTTTTTTTTGTTTTCCAGCTGAGTTTTCACGTCACACTGTTGTTACTGTGTACAAACCATGACGAATCCGCACGCGAAGATAACACATATAAAGGTCATCGTTATTGGCGTGTTTTGACAAAAGTTACCTGAGCTTCACAAAAAAATATGAAAGATATGTTTTCCCGATATGTAAACTTACGTTATTTATTTCTGCTTTTAGAAACATCTTCATGTCCTTGTTTGTTAGACGGATTTGTTTGTATATTTTAGTCTAGAAGAACCACAGAATTCACAATCCAACTTTTGCACAGATTCATTACACGAACTGAGAGCACCACAAGACAATACACAAACAGCACAGCAGTATCACAAACACATTACTAGGGTATACGCATGCACTTCTACTCCTTCTCCGAAGTTGTTTGTCCACGTGTTTGTTTTCAAATATACTCTTATATTTGTAAAGGTGAGACCAACGAATTTCAAGAACACTGTTTAAATCTCCCACCCCCATTTCCCGCTGATAAATCTTCCCGTCAGGCCACTGCACTTCCAACAATAGCACATTCGGATTTCTCCCGATTCCGAAATGAGCCACTGGTTCAATGCGACCTCGATATCCGGACCCTCCGTCAATGATCTGGGTCATCATTTCACCTCCGGCCAACACCAAGGTGACCTTTGACCCTCTTGCTGGTGCTGCGTATCGGGTTTTAGGAATTATTCTTACCCAGTAATTTTCAAATCTGGAGATACTTAAGGATTTATTACGAAGTATGTTTCGAGTCAAATTAGTAACAAAAGTTTTATTTCGAGCTATATGTGAACGTTGAAATGTAAAATTAGTCATTGTTTCGATTGCAGACGCTGTGGAATATAATGTAATAGTTTGACCGGAAGACTCACCATGAGTTATAAGAAGGTCAAGGACACCGTCCATGTCGATATCAGTAACGAGACTTCCGGTACTATAAGCTCTTGGCTCGAGAGCATCCCCAATACTAACCTCTGTTATTTCAAAATCATGCCCCGTTGAGAGTTTTGTTGTGTTTACTGTGAAAAGCCTATTTGGTTGGGCTCCATGATGCATAACGTTGTTGAACATTATTTCAGTGTAACCGTCGTTATTGAAGTCCGCTAGCGCTATAGAACATAGGGCGGAACCCTGTCGCATATTTAAATGGGCCATATCGATAAATTTAACATTTTTGCTATAGGATGAAATCTGCTGAATGAACAATCTTTGCGGTCCTAACCAATTCCCGGCAATAATATCTACAAGACCATCTTGATTAATATCCCCTAAGGCAACGTCACGCCCCTTTTGATGTCTGTCTGTCAAACCTAATTGTCGGGCTACATTTCTAAACTTGCCACCTCCAATGTTCATAAAAAGTTTGTTTTCACCTATTTCATTCCGCTCACCATTAATATTTACGAAAATGTCCGATCGTCCATCTGTTCCCAGAATTGGTCCAATTGCAAAACCTCTTCCACCCGTCACAATGTCCAAACCGGCTTCCTTTGCAACGTCTTTTAAGACGATTGGCCCGCTAGTGATGTTATTGGCTGGATGGGATGTGTCCATTTCTAAAAGAAGGAATCGCTCATCCCCGCTTTGTGAGGAGGTCATCACAGCAAAAGCATAACGACCTTTACCTTGTCTATCGATACACGTAACAGAGTGACCCATATACGTCACTTCCTGTATCCAAGCATTAACGGAATCTGACAACAGATCCACATACCTGTTTTCTACATACTTGAATACTTTGTCGCTGTGCTTTTCCCGCCAGTTGATATCAGCATTAGAATTAAGAATATAAATTTCTTCTCGTCCGTCGCCATCAATGTCACACGCAGCGACGCCCACTGCCCGACCCTCAGAGTCCATGAGAGCTTCGAACGGAGTGCCAGTCACGGCAATGTTTTTTAAGGCGCGACTTTTGTTGTCGTATGACAGGACGATGTTAGAACTGCTAAAGCTTGCCACAATAATGTCCAAATGTCCATCTCCACTGACGTCACTGACAGCAGCACCGTATGTCATTTCTTTGGTCTCGAACAGACGTAATAGGTCATGTGACCTCGACACAAACATCGAATTTATTGGCGAAATCGTTAGCATTAAGAAGCAATAGGGTATTGCAGTGTCCATAGTGTGTGTGGGTGTCGTCCATATGATGGTGTTTATAGATCAGCGTGGAAGTAGAGTGTTTACACTGACCAGAGTCCGCACGAGACATGATGTGGTATTTGATAGATTACCACTCGATAGCGGGTTATTTTATGCACAGTCGTACCTTCTACATGTATATAGACGTTATAAAACAAGTGGCTGTTATACATGATGTACTCTTTACATATCACCTGATCAGTCATCACAGCATCAGACATTTGTAAGCATTAGTCACGTGGGGACAATATGAATGGTTCTATTGGAAATGTATCTGTTGTATAATTACCAGGAGCACATATTATGGAGAATGATAGAAAAGTAGAGTTGGTATGAACTGAATGATATTATAAAGGCGTATGCGCAATGACTTTGTTTACATCCTTCTCTCTCTCTCTCTCTCTCTCTCTCTCTCTCTCTCTCTCTCTCTCTCTCTCTCTCTCTCTCTCTCTCTCTCTCTCTCTCTCTCTCACACACACACACACACACACACAATACAAATGCAGCTCCTGCGTGTGATATTACATATCATCTATATATATAATTTCTTTTATAATAATAGTCACACCAATCCAGTGATGAAATTTTGCAGTTGCCATTCAGCTGACGATTGTGTCGAAGACATTTATGGAGGTGAAGTGAACTCTCTCTCTCTCTCTCTCTCTCTCTCTCTCTCTCTCTCTCTCTCTCTCTCTCTCTCTCTCTCTCTCTCTCTCTCTCTCTCTGAGAATTGGTAATGATAAGTTTGAGTATTGAAGCACAGTCGTCATACGTCTTTAAAATGTAGAAATGGACAGCATAAGTTAGGTTCCCTTAACGGATGTGATAAGTTTTAGATTACTTGCCATATCACGTGATTTTTTTTCTTTTATATTTCTTCTCAAAATAGCATCAGTTTACATAATCCATAGAAAAAAATATTGTAAATTCAAAAAGTCCGCATTTTCTTTTGGTTAATAAGATATCAAAACTGAATCCATGTGTTAATTCCTGTGACAGATAAACTGTGTTTACTGACTAACACATCAAATGTGTAATGCAAATTGGTTAAAATATCTTCTAAAAAACAACAAAATAGGATGTTATAGAACTCAGAAGTATAAAAATATTGATTTGCGAAAAAATATTTACAAATCCATCCTGTTGGAAGTATGCGTGAAAGTACGAGGATTTGTTTTCAAAAATCGTAAGGGAAACTTACATTGTAAACAAGAAATGATGTGCCTCTAGAGCTGTCTTTCCAATACGCATTATCTCCCCTTATACGATACACAACAGAAACTGATCGCGTCCTAGATTTCGAGTGAGTGCAGTTTGTTTATACTGTATACAATCGTGTGTATATTGTATAAAATCGTAGCCGTCATCTGTAATATTTCTTTTTCTTTTGTGTGAAGTTAAAGTATGTCAAGAGCAGGAAAACCGCTTTGAGTGGATATTCATTCGCGTCACACCCAATTGTTGTAAGGCCTTGTTCCGCTTACGCACTGGCAAATCACACACATCCGGCAATTCCTTCTCGTCGCTTATGTCTCTAAAAACATCATCTAGAAGATCTTGATGATACATGCACGACTGCTGAACTTTCATTTGGCGGATTTGCACATAAATGTGAAGTAACTGTTTAGAAAGTTCTTGGTCCTTTACAGCAATTTCTTTCTGGAAGTTGAAGAACAACATATTATAATAAATCTTGTTTTTATTTTTACTTTTTCACAGTTTTCTAACTTTTTTCTCTTCTTATTGCACATTCTCTTGTAAATGATCTTCAAAATTAATTTCGAGAATCTGATTTAATTTTAGACCAAAAGAAAAATTTCTGAAGCAAAAGTAATATTTTACTTTTGATCAATGTTTACATAATGTTCTTATATTCTTTTTTGACATTGTTGCATCAGCGAGTTTCTGGTTTAAAAGATGCTTTGGTGGAGGACCAAAATTCGTAAGCTTGAAGGAAATTGATTTCCAGATTTCAAAATGTCTGATTAAAACATCCAGATTCCCCTGTGCAGGATTCGATGTTCTTTATCACTATGTCATAACAACAATTCCTACAAACAAGAGAACCACAGGACATCATACGCTCATCCCATGATAAAGGAATATTCATGATTTATTTTATCAAATAGTATACAAATATGGACTTAGTGGAATATTGCGGAAGGTAATCTCCGTATAATGTTATAGTATCGAAATGCAAAAAAACACAACGGCCAAAAGTTTCTTTAAAAAAGAAAATCAACTTGCGATTCGGTAAATCACATCTCCAATTTTAATTTGATTGACTGAAAACTGAGAGAGGGAATCTCTGGAAAAGACAAACATTATGAATACAATAAGGGGCAGTAACTCTTAAAATACAGTCGAACCAGGACACGACAACTCCCTGTTAGGATGATGAAGCCTATCGAGTTTGATAAAAACTGGGAAGAGGCGTATAACGGAAGTTATAACGGAGGACGGAGAAGATTGAGAGGTTATTCTTAATCCATGTTTTCAGGACTTACTATTTAGACATATTATTGCATGTAACTGAACGTATATTTACTATCTAGAAATAATTCGTTATTTTGTCCTATTCATCATTTTCGAACTATAGTTTCTTTTATTACGATTTGCATCAGTTTCACCTGACAATGATTCGTTACATTAACCTGAAATTTCGTTAAGTCGAGTATGGTGATTCAACCAGGACCTTCAGAATCTCGATATGATGTCCTCTTACCGAAAAAACTAATTTTTCTATTTCGTATTGTGATTACGTTTTAGTGCTTACGATCCGTAACACTGGACTCTCTTGATGTTCTGCAACACAAACTCGCCCTGAATTTTTACCCTCAATATTGTGTTGATTTATCATATGAAGATTCACTGCATAATTTCTATTGTACAAGTATTGTGATAATGTGCTGGGCTTCAATTTTAGACAGAATAATCTGTAACAAAATCCATGTCGTTATTATCACCATTCCGAAAATTAAACATAACTGTCATGCTCGTATAGTGACTTTATCGTCTTATGTAATAAAACTCCAATTTTAACAGAAATTCCGGAAAACTGTTATTAATCACACACTCTCTTGTGATCAAGTTATTGCTGTCAATTAAATTGTATTTGATGACGCAAACTTCCCTGCATTTTAATTTAAAGGGTGATGTTCTCTCAACTTTTCTACATCAGCGAACGTAGAGGGACATCAGCGTGTAAAGAACGTATTTTACCATATAACTGACCGATACAATAGGCGAAGAGTGTAACACCCACTACTGACATTCAACCAACACTGTTACCCGATTACAATAGAGAGTTGAAATATGAGACTGAGTTACAAAATGGCCGTTATCGTAAGCCAGGTTACACTTGCAGATTGATTGATATCCGTGTAACTGGGTCACAAAAGTGGGTCAAGATATACCTATAAGTGTAACCAGGTCACAGTTGTTAATGGACAAGTGTAAACATAGACTTTCCCCAAATAATTGTTGTGTTCATGTCCATAAACGACTATAGTTGTTTTGAGACGGGTTTTCCTTGAAGTAGCCGGTGGCAAACCAACAGAAGAAAATACGAGAGACCTTTCAAATGTCATCCAGAACAGTAAGTGTAAATCGTCCTGCCCAAGGGCACAACCACGACGGCACAGACAGGACCGTTCCCGAGCTTCATGAGAAATACAAAACAACAGTGAAACGTCAAATCCAGCTATGAACAGTGTCATTAACTTCTACTTTATCTCAAAACAAAAATTACCTATCAATGTACATATTACATCAGATACAATATTCCATGAAAAAATGTGAAAGATATGTATATTGAACAAAACACGAAAGAAAGGTATCAAAACAATGTCTGAACTATCTTTTTTATCTCCGGTTACCATAATAGCACAACGCCTTCTACCCGACAAACCAGTTTAGTCAAGTCACGGTCGGCCGAACCGAACTCAGTCATTAAACTGAATAATTATGAGGTCCATGATGTTCACATGATGTTACCTGGATACAAAAATACCGGGAACAATTTGTTCAACATAATATTGGTTAAACATAGGTATAGCGTGTCGCTGATATTTGTACGACGAAATTCGAGTTTTTTTTGTACGAAATAGCTTTAGATAACTGTTGATTGACATCTTAACTTCTATTTTAAATAATTTGTATGAAAATCAAACACCCTACCCCCTAAATATGATCTATCATAGTTATATCATAGCTTAGATGGGATTCTATGACGTAACGATGCAGATACAGGGGGTCAGTGTAAGAAACGCCGCAGATCCACGACAAGAGTACGCTGGAACGCCAGGCATACACCGGTTTACACCAATTACTACCTATCTTGGCGTAAGAAACATCCGTTTTGTTTCTTCAAGAACATCTTTGCTATATTTTCACTTCCTGTTGTATTGACTTTGAACACTTCTAAAGGAAATATTTGCATGAACATTTTCGCAACCATTTTTTTCAAAAAGATATGTTTAGTTCTTGGTGTCTCGCAGAGAAAAAAATCACAAAAATTATTCTGTCGATCTGTCAATTTGAAACGCAAGATATTTGAAAGAATGACAACTTTCAGGTGGTATATTCATAATGCCTTCATAGTATATTTTTTCTCATTTTAAGTTAATTGATTCATTAGGAGAAAGAACTGTTAGAATATAAATATATCTTTATACCGATTTCTTTGAGGTGAAATGACGTTAAATATACTGGGCACGTCTGGTGATATTATAAGCTAATCTATATATTGTTTACTGTTGGTGACTTTTATCTACTTACCCTAGAGTCATGTACATATTTCAGTTTGTCGGACATACTCATTTCCTTAAATACGTGGTCTTTTTCAGAACTGCCTTCTTGTGCCCTGCACTCTGTTAAGTCACACAGCATGGTCCCGCTGGATATCTTACGATACCCTCGTCTTGTTGCCATGTACTGCCTTCCCGATGACTTCCGGCTTAAATCCGGAAGTGGTTCCAGCTTCAGTCGTTTCGTTATATCAATCAAATCGAGCAAATGGTTTGATTCCCGAATCATTTCGAAAATTCTCCACGTTAAAGGTAACTGAATAAAAGATATACTTCAAACGATCTTAATTCTTTAAACTTGCTAAAACATTGGTCACTATAAATCCATGGAAACGTTCAAAGGAGATCCAAGACAATTTAGTATCAAGAGATTTATGTTTGTACAAGGTTGGTGTAAAAAGTGTGATATTTCAACAGTGTTTCTAGTCGGACTAGCACCAGGAAATTTATATACATAAAATGTTAGTGTATAAGTATATGTTATTTACATGTCCGGCTCATGTCGTATCTCTCTGTATTGTTAAACATCCGGCAATACACTTGACTTTACCGTAATAACCAAGGACACCATCCTCGTTTGTGCGTGTTTTTACGTCCTCGTGTCCCCAATTAAATGAACGACACTAGTGGTACCAAGAGAGTGAGATAACCACACTAGTGGTACCTAGAGAGTGAGATAACAACACTAGTGGTACCTAGAGAGTGAGATAACCACACTAGTGGTACCTAGAGAGTGAGATAAACACACTAGTTGTACCTAGAGAGTGAGATAACCACACTAGTTGTACCTAGAGAGTGAGATAACCACACTAGTGGTACCTAGAGAGTGAGATAACCACACTAGTAGTACCTAGAGAGTGAGATAAACACACTAGTGGTACCTAGAGAGTGAGATAACCACACTAGTGGTACCAAGACAGTGAGATAAACACACTAGTGGTACCAAGACAGTGAGATAAACACACTAGTTGTACCTAGAGAGTGAGATAACCACACTAGTGGTACCAAGAGAGTGAGATAAACACACTAGTTGTACCAAGAGAGTGAGATTACCACACTAGTGGTACCTAGAGAGTGAGATAACCACACTAGTTGTACCAAGAGAGTGAGATAACCACACTGGTGGTACTAGAGAGTGAGATAACCACACTAGTGGTACCAAGACAGTGAGATAAACACACTAGTTGTACCAAGAGAGTGAGATAACCACACTAGTGGTACCAAGAGAGTGAGATAACCACACTAGTGGTACCAAGACAGTGAGATAAACACACTAGTGGTACCAAGACAGTGAGATAAACACACTAGTTGTACCTAGAGAGTGAGATAACCACACTAGTGGTACCAAGAGAGTGAGATAAACACACTAGTGGTACCAAGAGAGTGAGATAACCACACTGGTGGTACTAGAGAGTGAGATAACCACACTAGTTGTACCTAGAGAGTGAGATAACCACACTAGTGGTACCTAGAGAGTGAGATAACCACACACGTGGTACCAAATGAGTGAGATAACCACACTAGTGGTACCTAGAGAGTGAGATAACCACACTGGTGGTACCAAGACATTGAGATAAACACAATAGTGGTACCAAGACAGTGAGATAAACACACTAGTTGTACCAAGAGAGTGAGATAACCACACTAGTGGTACCAAGAGAGTGAGATAACCACACTGGTGGTACTAGAGAGTGAGATAAACACACTAGTGGTACCAAGAGAGTGATATAACCACACTAGTGGTACCAAGAGAGTGAGATAACCACACTAGTGGTACCATGAGAGTGAGATAAACACACTAGTGGTACCAAGACAGTGAGATAAACACACTAGTTGTACCAAGAGAGTGAGATTACCACACTAGTGGTACCTAGAGAGTGAGATAACCACACTAGTTGTACCAAGAGAGTGAGATAACCACACTGGTGGTACAAGAGAGTGAGATAACCACACTAGTGGTACCATGAGAGTGAGATAAACACACTAGTGGTACTAGAGAGTGAGATAAACACACTAGTGGTACCAAGAGAGTGAGATAACCACACGAGTGGTAACTAGAGAGTGAGATAATCACACTAGTGGTACCAAGATAGTGAGATAGCCACACTAGTGGTACCTAGAGAGTGAGATAAACACACTATTTGTACCAAGATAGTGAGATAACCACACTAGTGGTACCAAGAGAGTCAGATAATCACACTAGTGGTACCATGAGAGTGAGATAACCACACTGGTGGTACCAAGAGAGTGAGATAACCACACTAGTGGTACCATGAGAGTGAGATAGCCACACTAGTGGTACCTAGAGAGTGAGATAACCACACTAGTTGGTACCTAGAGAGTGAGATAAACACACTAGTGGTAACTAGAGAGTGAGATAACCACACCAGTGGTACCTATAGAGTGAGATAACCACACTAGTGGTACCTATAGAGTGAGATAAACACACTAGTGGTACCAAGAGAGTGAGATAACCACACTAGTGGTACCAAGAGAGTGAGATAACCACACTAGTGGTACCATGAGAGTGAGATAAACACACTAGTGGTACCAAGACAGTGAGATAAACACACTAGTTGTACCAAGAGAGTGAGATTACCACACTGGTGGTACTAGAGAGTGAGATAACCACACTAGTGGTACCATGAGAGTGAGATAAACACACTAGTGGTAATAGAGAGTGAGATAACCACACTAGTTGTACCCAGAGAGTGAGATAACCACACTAGTGGTACCTAGAGAGTGAGATAACCACACTAGTAGTACCTAGAGAGTGAGATAACCACACACGTGGTACCAAGAGAGTGAGATAACCACACTAGTGGTACCTAGAGAGTGAGATAACCACACTGGTGGTACCAAGACAGTGAGATAAACACACTAGTGGTACCAAGAGAGTGAGATAACCACACTAGTGGTACCTAGAGAGTGAGATAACCACACTAGTGGTACCAAGAGAGTGAGATAAACACACTAGTGGTACCAAGAGAGTGAGATAACCACACTAGTGGTACCAAGAGAGTGAGATAACCACACTAGTGGTACCTAGAGAGTGAGATAACCACACTAGTGGTACCAAGAGAGTGAGATAAACACACTAGTGGTACCAAGAGAGTGAGATAACCACACTGGTGGTACTAGAGAGTGAGATAACCACACTAGTTGTACCTAGAGAGTGAGATAACCACACTAGTGGTACCTAGAGAGTGAGATAACCACACACGTGGTACCAAGAGAGTGAGATAACCACACTAGTGGTACCTAGAGAGTGAGATAACCACACTGGTGGTACCAAGACATTGAGATAAACACACTAGTGGTACCAAGAGAGTGAGATAACCACACTAGTGGTACCTAGAGAGTGAGATAACCACACTAATGGTACGAAGAGAGTGAGATGACCACACTGGTGGTAACTAGAGAGTGAGATAATCACACTAGTGGTACTAGAGAGTGAGATAAACACACTAGTGGTACCAAGACAGTGAGATAAACACACTAGTGGTACCATGAGAGTGAGATAACCACACTAGTGGTACCTAGAGAGTGAGATAACCACACTAGTGGTACCTAGAGAGTGAGATAGCCACACTAGTGGTACCATGAGAGTGAGATAACCACACTAGTTGTACCAAGAGAGTGAGATAACCACACTAGTGGTACCTAGAGAGTGAGATAACCACACTAGTGGTACCTAGAGAGTGAGATAACCACACTAGTGGTACCATGAGAGTGAGATAAACACACTAGTGGTACCAAGACAGTGAGATAAACACACTAGTTGTACCAAGAGAGTGAGATAACCACACTAGTGGTACCTAGAGAGTGAGATAACCACACTGGTGGTACTAGAGAGTGAGATAACCACACTAGTTGTACCTAGAGAGTGAGATAACCACACTAGTGGTACCATGAGAGTGAGATAAACACACTAGTGGTAACTAGAGAGTGAGATAACCACACTAGTGGTACCTAGAGAGTGAGATAACCACACTAGTGGTACCTAGAGAGTGAGATAACCACACTAGTGGTACCTAGAGAGTGAGATAACCACACTAGTGGTACCTAGAGAGTGAGATAACCACACTAGTGGTACCATGAGAGTGAGATAAACACACTAGTGGTACCAAGACAGTGAGATAAACACACTAGTTGTACCAAGAGAGTGAGATAACCACACTAGTGGTACCGAGAGAGTGAGATAACCACACTGGTGGTACTAGAGAGTGAGATAACCACACTAGTTGTACCTAGAGAGTGAGATAACCACACTAGTGGTACCATGAGAGTGAGATAAACACACTAGTGGTAACTAGAGAGTGAGATTACCACACCAGTGGTACCTATAGAGTGAGATAACCACACTAGTGGTAACTAGAGAGTGAGATAAACACACTAGTGGTACCAAGACAGTGAGATAAACACACTAGTGGTAACTAGAGAGTGAGATAGCCACACTAGTTGGTACCTAGAGAGTCAGATAATCACACTAGTGGTACCAAGAGAGTGAGATAACCACACACGTTTTACCATGAGACAGAGATAACCACACCAGTGGTACCTAGAGAGTGAGATAACCACACTAGTGGTACCAAGACAGTGAGATAAACACACTAGTGGTACCAAGACAGTGAGATAAACACACTAGTGGTACCAAGAGAGTGAGATAACCACACTAGTGGTACCAAGAGAGTGAGATAACCACACTGGTGGTACTAGAGAGTGAGATAAACACACTAGTGGTACCAAGAGAGTGATATAACCACACTAGTGGTACCAAGAGAGTGAGATAACCACACTAGTGGTACCATGAGAGTGAGATAAACACACTAGTGGTACCAAGACAGTGAGATAACACACTAGTTGTACCAAGAGAGTGAGATACCACACTAGTGGTACCTAGAGTGAGATGAGATAACCACACTAGTGAGTAACCAGAGAGAGTGAGATAAACACACTAGTGGTACTAGAGAGTGAGATAAACACACCAGTGGTACCAAGAGAGTGAGATAACCACACGAGTGGTAACTAGAGAGTGAGATAACCACACTAGTGGTACCCAAGAGAGTGAGATAACCACACTAGAGAGTGAGATAATCACACTAGTGGTACCAAGACAGTGAGATAACCACACTAGTGGTACCTAGAGAGTGAGATAACCACACTAGTGGTACCTAGAGAGTGAGATAACCACACTAGTGGTACCTAGAGAGTGAGATAACCACACTAGTGGTACCTAGAGAGTGAGATAACCACACTAGTGGTACCTAGAGAGTGAGATAACCACACTAGTGGTACCTAGAGAGTGAGATAACCACACTAGTGGTACCTAGAGAGTGAGATAAACACACCAGTGGTAACTAGAGAGTCATATAACCACACTAGTGGTACCAAGATAGTGAGATAACCA